GGGTGCTCGCTTGGCTTTCGGCACCCCAGTCATTGTTCACAGACGCATGAAAGGTTTTAACTAGTTAGTTAGGCATCCTTCAGTCTCGAAAGACTATGGTACCGTGCTCTGTATGGAGGACTTGGAACAGCGTCTAGTGTGGCTGAGGAGGCCGATTCAAGAGTGACAATCTCTTCCACACTGAAGACAAATCCAATCTGTCCCCTGTCCAGCTTCCTGGTTTTGCTGCTTTTGTGACTTCCTCTTTGCCTCAGCCTGTTGAGCAAGGGTCTCTTCAAATTGGGAGAGGCTGTGATGCAATGCCTGCCTCCAGGCTGAACGCTCAGATGTCAGGGTTTCCCATCTGTTGAGGTCCATTCCTAAGGCCTTCAGATCTCGCTTGCAGATATCCTTGCATGGCAGCTGTGGTCTCCCTCTGGGGCAATTTCCCTGCACTAATTCTCCATACAGGAGATCCTTTGGAATCCGACCATCAGCCATTCTCACGACGTGCCCAATCCAACGTATACGTCGCTGTTTCAGTAATGTGTTCATGCTAGAAAAGGAGCCATCATGCAATCCACTCATCAGACTGCTTGGAAAATGCTGCTCTCCTTATACACTCAATAGGGCTGTGTGTGTGTGTGGAAGTGAGGGGGCTGATCTCTGGATGGCAGCTTTTCCCGTCCCTCTGGATTCCTGCCTCCCCCAGCTTCAGCAGCGAAGTCATAATTTGGAGTGTGCGCATGATAAGTGAAGTAGAGGGACATGCACATGGAATGTGTTTGTGTATCCCACATAGGAACCCTGTACTTCTGAATTTGTGACTACACTACTGTATGGTAATGTAAGACATACAATTCAATGCTTAGGGCTGAATGATCAAGCCCAAGTGAAAAAAAAATTCAAGCCTTGCTCAAACATTAAGATATACTGGGCCCCTAGAGTGCCAGAAATATCTGGGGACCAAAAAAGTTGAAGCTCAGGCTTTCCTGCTTTGGATACATCACAAGAAGGCAGCATTCTTGGGGGCAGGGGGATGCTGGGGAAGGTGGAAGGCAGCAGGAAAAAAAGGAAAACCAAATGCAAGATGGGCTGACTTCCTAAAGGAACCCACAGGCTTGAGTTTGCAAGAGCTGAGCAGGGCAGTTGAGGGCAGGACATTTTAGAGATTGCTCATTCATTGGGTCACTATAAGTATTTTAGAGATTGCTCATTCATAGGGTCACTAAGACAAAGGCAACTTGACAGCCAATAACAAGCACAACATGTGGTAGGTCTTATCAGGTCCTGATCACCCATGAAAAGCAGTGTGTAACCTAAAACAGAAAAGAGGACTCTGTGGGCGTTTCAAATCTACTTCAGTTTTTAAAAGAACCCCAGTGTGATGGACTACTGATCACATTTCGTTGGATTAACTATATCCAGCTTAGCAAGGCTTATTTAAGAGGCAGAGACCTTAGGAGCAAGTAGCACGTTGCCTTTCACATGGCAATAAGAAAACAAACCCTTAATTCAAAGCCCAAACAGCGGCTTTTAAAGTATAGATATGTATTCAAGTTTTTAATGCTAAATAATGCAGTCTGCAAATTCATTAAAAGGGTGCCACAGGTTTACTAGGTAAAACCAAACATGTAGAAGGAAGGACAATGGAAGAAGAGGCACACAACATGATGGGTCATCAGTTGTAAAAATAAAGGATAGGACAGAGGTGGCAGATGCTTTTTTTTGTCTCTTAAAGCAATGATTCCAGATTTGATGGTTGCAAAGGCAAGACATGCATAAGTTCTATTGCAAATAGGAAAGTTATAAGTGTGATTATTTTCCAGCACATTCTTGCTACTTGTTCTCTGTGTAAATTCTTTTATGTTCTGATTGCTAGAAGTTATGAAACCGTGGCTGAAATTCAGTAAAGTTATGCTGCATAAATTTGATGACAACAGCAGCAGCAGTATTTTGTGAATAGGTTTCCTATCCCCCTCTCCCAGATCCTCAGACTCTGGAGGAGTCTTTGGGGACAGTGGGGTGGGAGTGGGGAGTCTTATATGCTTGCAAATTGCTGACCCCAGTGAGGCAGGACCAGCAGCAGATGTCATTTTCAGACATTTAAGACTTGTTGGCCCCATTCTGCTATCTTCCTGAGGATGAAAGGGATCCCAAGGGAGTCTAGGAACCAGAGGGTGAGTAGGAGAATAGGGAACATTTATTTAGCAATATATGGCCACAGCTGATGATGTCATTAGGCTTATTCAGAATAAATGTACATTTCTAGATTTCAGCCTGTTCATTGTGATGTATCCTATAGGCCTTTGTTAAATATTCAAACATGTATTATCAAAGAAAGCATACTTTCTTGCACCTGAAGTGTTAAATATATTGAAACTGGCTTGTACATTTCCCACAGTCAGAAATAAAACAGGAAAACAGTACATGTTTTTATCTGAAATCCTGCTGGTGCAACTACATCTGCAGAAAGTTGATATTATCATCAACATAGGGAGATTCAGAAATCAAATATTTCCTACTTCCACACAATGAAAGGAATTACATGAGAGCTCCAGAACGGACATCATCAGCCTTCTTCAGGCTTTGTTGTGCAAACTGGATTTCAGCCAGCATCTAATAAAATATATATACAGTCAAGCTGATTCTGACTCAGAATGATCTAGTGCACTGGTTCTTAACCTTGGGTTACTCAGGAGTTTTGGACTGCAACTCCCAGAAGCCTTCACCACCAGCTGCCCTGACTGAGGTTTCTGGGAGTTGCAGTTCCAAAGCATCTGAGTAACAAAGGTTAAGAACCACTGATCTAGTGTTTTCTACGTATAAAGTACTCTGAGGCAATTTTCCAGTCCCTCCTTTTGGTGGTTCTCTAGGATTAGCCATGCACACCTGAGTAATTTCAACTGGCTGTTTTCCCATGAAGCACAGTGGATATTCACAGCCATGTGTTCCTATTGACTTATACCAGCATCTCCTATAGCTTAATTTAAATGCCTGTGGACTCCTCTCTCATCCTATCTAAGGGCTGTAATTTAATGTAAACTGTATGGCTTCAACATCAGACACTTCTGCTCCCTTTACTGTGTTGTTTACTATCTTGCCTGATGAAAAGTTCTAGAAAAATCCAGTGCTGACAAGCTACAGTATTACTATCCACTTGCTCTTAAAGTTAATGTCCTCATGTGAATTTTGAATTTTCTTTTTTACAATCCCAAGGCTATCTTTGTAAAATGTAAAAAGTCTGCAACAAATTAATATTTATTCAGAATTTCTGATGAAATTGAGAATACAGTCACTGTGTCAATCTGAACATCATAACAATGGAATACTTTATTTCAGAACTAGGGAACCTTTGGCCCAACAGACATTGGTATAAACTCCCATTAGCTTTAGGACTATATCCAATGGTCAAAGATAAGAGATGACGCAAGAATATCTAAAGGGTGCAAGATTCCTTATTCCATGTATTCCAAGTTCATTTCCATCACGTCTGACTAATTAGTACTTTTCTAATCAGGGAGCAGCTGCTCATATCAGAACACATACCCAACAAATCCTGCATAGTAAACAACTTTGCCTGGAAAAACTAACATTAAAAAGTCAGATTCTGAAAAAGCAAAGGCCTGCAGAGTCTTATTTTCAATAGCCTCTCTGAAATTTCATTGCAGTCACAAAAATATTTAGCTTCTGAACATCTCAAAAAAAGAACTCTGGACCCAAATGCTCTGTTAGAGATAGCTGCTGCAACATAGCAATAATCCTTTTTGTGTGTATACACATACACTTTGCACTCCTTCAAACATTTCCACCTTGGTTACATTACTCTAGTTAGACAATCTTTTTCAAACAGCATGGACTGCAGTAGCAACCAATTCAAAATAGGCTATTGCAAATAACTTTACATGTAAAATACTATTTTATCGTATGAAATTGTATCTCAATTGTTTAACACAATTCTTACAATGTTGCCGTTAAGAACAGGGGCAACCAAAGTGAATACACACTCTGTAAGGGTTTTAGGTTTTCCATTAATATATGAATTAAGTCTCTGGCCAAAAAAAAGAGGAAAAGAAAATTAAGCTAGACTCAGATTGTACAGCTACTGTATCTACTTTGGTTCCAAAGAACTTTCACTAGCTATGTGAGAACAGAAAGGAATAAGAATTGGGGCACCAAATTGCAAACGCCTCAAATAAGAATGCAGTGGCTGAAATCCTGTTGCTTGGAGTAATATATCACAATACTTAGGGCAATAGAATCAGTGGGGATTTGGTAAGTCAATTCTTCCATAGGCCCCATTGATTCAAATGGGCCTACTCAAGTTGCAACGTAGGGAGCAACGACATTGCCCAAATAATTTTAAAGTTGTGTCAAGGTGTTATTGTATTGATTCATGAAATGTACTTTGTGTCACTAAGCCTCATCCTCATGGGACAGCATCAATTGAACTGATTTGATTTGGTGCTGGGGACGACACTGCTCTTTAAATGGCCTTAAAAAGAACCAGGGGTGGCACTTTGATCCACATATGGGTCTGCCCTGACTCTGCATGCATTCTGTCCTTGTCCATAAACATCTTGTTTGGAGTCTTTATTTATTTTTGTATTCTCGAAGGCTTTCATGGCCAGGATCTGATAGTTGTTGTGGGTTTTTCAGGCTCTTTGGCCGTGTTCTGAAGGTTGTTGTTCCTGACGTTTCGCCAGTCTCTGTGGCCAGCATCTTCAGAGGACAGGCGTAGGAACTCTGTCCACGCTCTGTTGCAACAATAAAGACAAATGGTTTCTTTAATTTTTTTAAAAAAAGAAACAGTTTGGACAGCAGGCATAACTGTTGATTTCCTGATGGGACAGCATTCAGCACCACCTCAAACACATTACCAAGATATCAGCATAGGGAATGCCCTCCCCCAAAATATGACACAGTCAATCACACAACCAAAAAAAAGTGAAAAAAGAGCTCAATGTAGAGTGACAGTGAAGCACTCTCATATTGTTGGGTTTTTTTTTAAAAAATAAATGAACACCCAAAGAATTGTTTTTATTTTGCTTCTTTTAAGAAATCTGTGGTTTTTGTAATAATTGCTATCAGTTCATTTTTGAAATACAATTTAAAATATAAAGAATGAATACAAGACTTCACAAAAATGCATCAAAACAGTAGCTTGGATTAAACAGCACCAAAGACTATATTAATTATACGATTATAAAAAGTCAGTTGCAACAGGATTTTAAATTTAACACTTTGGGCAACATTTTTACTATCAATTTAAGGTAATCTCTTCCATCCATACCAGAACATAGCACTTCTTCATGTTTTCATTATAAATCACAATACCGTTTAACATTTGTTTAATTTTTTTTAACATGAACCCTACCCACTGGTAACAATTAAAATGATTTGATATTATACAATATTTCTCATTCAGTAAAGACTGGGCATTTGAATTTAGCAAAACATGGACTAGATTTATTATGATTATTTCAGAGATTATCACATACATGTAACTTTTCAGATTTTTCTTGTTGAATTCTTCTATATTAATTTGGGAATAGTTAAGATCAAACCCAACCTGATGAATTCCACAAATTTCAGCTCATACTCTTGTCTATTTACTTATGCCTCAATAACATCTCCAGAAAAGTTCTTCCTTAGACCAATGTGATACTGTATACTGGGGGGGAGGCTTGCAACTAACTTCCTTCAGTAAAATATTTTAAAGTATAGTTTATTAGGAATTTAATTTAGCCCTTAAGGAACTGGTGTAAACCAGCACATGTGTATCACCCTGACATCAGGACTGCATCTTTTTAAAAAAGTATTCTGGAAAAATAAGTGCTGGTTCAATGCAAACACTATTCCTAGATTATCCTGAAAAAGAATGAAGACAGTAGTAACCGAGATAGCTATACTTCCTACCAGTATAACACATTTCAACATAAGGCAAGTAAAAATATTAGAGGCTTCCAAAAATGTCCTATATGCCGTATCTATTTTAAGTACAATTTGCTTGATTTTACTCAAGTGCTAAACACCATTTATAAAGATAAACAAAAAAGAAACAATGTTTTAAAAGTTAAATACTTTAAAAAGCTACATTTTCACTATAAATGCTTGTCCAAATATAAAACAGAGGAGGATTGGAATCCTGCTGAAACATCTTGTTTGGATGAACAGTAGTCTATTGCACCAGGGTCTTTTTAACCCTTAACCCATTATCAGGAATCTAGACCAGAATAACATATTTATCTTTCCACAAGAGATTCACCCAAGGCAATTCATCATCTATTGTAAACAGAGTCTTCCTGAAGACTATTTGGCAACATGCTAGATGAACACGTGACTTTCAGGACTGAGATTGCTTTGAATGATGTTGTGATTCTCAAGTTAGTCTTCAGAGGCAGTTTGGAAGCTGTTCTCGGAGGAGGAGTCAACATTTGCTTCCACTCCAGGTTGTCCAGAATTCATGAAAAAGGAGGGAGCAGACACAAAGCCTTCACTAATGTCTTTCTCCACTAAGTCTTCACAGTATGGAAGATCCCAAAGCCATTCTTCAAGGTGTGTAGAAGAATGAGCCATTTTAGGCGGGCAGCAGGAAGAGTGAATACTTGTGTCTAATGGTGCTGTGTGGCATTTTCTGAGCAAGATACCACTTTCTTTACTGAAAAAGGAGAAAAAAGGTTTTGAAATTATTCAGCAACATTTGATTTTTAGTCATTTATAAATATGGGACATGGTCCCCATTTGGACTTATAACCGACTGAATGAGTATTTTTTTTTTAAATTTACAAATAATCACTGTATTCTCTGGTTAAAGTAAGAGCATTTTCAACATATCAACTTGTTTATTTTCCACTTTGAGTTTCACATGTCCTATGTTCTTCCCTTTGTACTTGCACCATTTCTTCAGGTGCAAATAATGAAGAAGATATATGCATCGTGGCACTAATGATCAAGCTCTCATGCACAGACGTGAAGCCACAGATGTGGGCAGCAGCTAAATGAAAAGATGAGCATTAAATATATAATTAAAAGAGGGTTTCAGAGTGAAGAATAATTAAGAAAAATAATGGATAGAAAAAAGAAGGGTACTGGGTGCTCTTTGTCATAAAAGAATATGGATATTATCAGAAAACATGGATGCACAGGTTATTAATATATTTCATACATCCTATCTAATCTACATTCTTCAAAACTCTTTACATGTGAGTGTATGCATCTCAAATTATATTGTATGCTACAATATAAAAATTCATATAAATCTTCCAGAAAAAGATAAAGCATTTCTGATATTTTGAAGAGTCTCAAAAACAAATCCCAATTACAGAAGTTATTTTTGGAGGTAGTATTTGAATTATTGGTTGTGGAGACATAACTTGTCTGGTCTCCTAACCTGTTAATTTCAAATTCTAATTTGAACCCCTATGGACCCAAAATACACTTAGTGTCAATTGTGTATGAGTAGTTAGCATGTGTATTTAAAAAAACAACAACAACCACTGAATAGTTGTCACAGATGTGAAACAAAATGAAAACTATGAACTGTAGGGGACCCTGCCACTCCACGGTCCTAACAGAAACAGCCCAAAATGAAGCTGATATTCATCCCAGGACGGATGCTTCTGCAGGCACCAACTACTACTTCCTTCCTAGAGCAAATAGTGGTTGTGTGTGATTCTCTTTAGGACTGCAGGGAGGGGGGGAGAGCACTGCTCTCCACATTCATGATCTCTTCCCACATCTGGAGTCTGCACAGAATTAGGCTAAAAACAGATAGTCCCTAGAAGGGCTTCCTACCTACTGGAAGTGTCTCGGTGTCATAACAGGAGTTTTCCCCACCCCTGGGATTATGCAAATTAGATTTCTCTACTTGGTGTTTGGTCTTCAGGATTCCACTGAAATCTGATTTCACAAACCCCCAAAGACTGCCTCAATCACCTCTCTGCCACACTGATGTGCTTTCAGCTCTAACTGCAAACTATAACATCTGTTTCCTGCCTTAGTATCATGTAATTTGCCTCCATACTAAATAGCAATGTAGGTACAAACACTACAGCACAGCTTATTACAACCAGAGGAGAGTGGCATACATGAGAAGAGGAAGGGAGATACAAGGTTGGCAAGACAGTTCCAAATTTTTAACAAGAAGTCAAACAGAAACATTGCCAATACACCCTAACTCACAACATACCTGGAAAAACTCAGTAACCTTTGTCTTGCTTTGGAATACACTGCACCCATAATTTGACGAAACTGTTCCTGCATCCATCGCACATCATCAGGAATATCAGGAAACCAATCTACTAATCTGCAAATATGAAAGAGATCAATGTTTCAGAAAGAACCCAGATTTGAGAAAATCCCACAGGGAGTTAAATAAAGAAGCACACTATTCTGCTAAAGCTACTTACTGATAGAAGCATATGCCCACTACCACCAATCCTTTTCAGCATTTTATGGTTAGATACCGTTTTTAATTTGGACTATGCTTTTATCTCTCTTTCTTTAATGGTACTGAGGGGGGAAATCAGAAAAACCTATTATTACTTGCATAGTATTTTAACAATTCAAAATAATTACACCCATTTCTAGAACCAGAATTATTTTTGTAGCCCATATAAAGTTATTCTCCATTAAACTTGAGATATATACCAATATTAATATTAAAGTATAAGATGCTCTAGCATCCAGATTTCACACATCTGTTTATGAAAATGAACACAAATAATTCAAGGACTTGCAGATAAAATAGCTGCTTCCCTGTGACATGTAATATAGTTTTAAAAGAAATGTGCATAACAAGATGTTTCCCACAGAATTCCTCAACATATTTACTTGGACCTAAGTCCAACTGAACCTAATGGGGATTATTTTCAAGTACACACGTGCAGGCCTATCTGCAAAACAGGGATAATACTTGCACCATAGGATGATGATGTTTTTGTTTGTATTTGTCGTACGCAGAAATGGTCTACAGATGAGGCACGTGTTGTTAGGATTACTGAAAAGTCTATGAGGAACTTTAGCCACTAGGGAAATGTGCTGTATTGGCATAATGATTTGTACATTTTATAGCCAAATTCCAATTCAGAAAGTATCTCAAGGACTGTGTTCTGATGTGGGCAGGATAAGGGCACAGAGGAGCAAACTAGACAAGGATAGATGTTTACCCATTTGGATTGTTTCTCATCAAACAAAGATGTGCCCTGCTCCCCACCCCTGACTCAGTCTGTGTCTGAATAAGGAAACATAGTGCTTTTGAAGAGGTTCCAACTCAATCCTTAGCTGAAGCTGTGCCAATATTTGTGTATTTCCAGATTTTGGTGGTGTGTGTACGTGTTCCATTCCCAGGAATGGAGAACCACAGAATCATAGAAGTTGGAAGTTCCTACCTACTGGAAGTGTCTCCCTACTCAATGCAGGAATCAAAGGATATCCACCAGATAGTTGTCTAAATTTCTCTTTAATCCCTCCAGTGTTGGAGCACTCAACCCCTCTCGAGGTAATTGGTTCCACTGTCTTACTGCTCTAACAGTTAAGAAGTTAATCTTGATATTCACCCAAAATTTGGCTTCCTGTTGCTTGAGCCCACTGTGGAGTGATCAAGAACTGTGGAGTGATTTGGCCCCTCCTTTGTATGATAGCCTTCCAAGTACAGTGTTTGAAAAGTGCTATCATCTCTCCTGTCATTCTTCTTTTCTCAGAGCTAAACATGCCCAGTTCTTTCAGTCTTTCCTCATAGGAAAAACTACGTAGGAAAGACTACCTTGTTGCCCTCCTCTGAACTTGTTCCAGTTTGTCAGCATCCTTCTTGAAGTGCAGTGTCCTCAGAGTACTCAAGATGAGGCCTAAACTGTGCCAAATAGAGGGGAATGAGTACCTCACGGGATCTGGAGACTATAATTTTGTTAATGCAGCCTAAAATTGCATTTGCCTTTTTTGTAGCCACATCACACTGTTGGCTCATATTCAGTTTGTGATCTACAACAATTCCAAGATCCTTCTCACTCGTAGTATTGCTGAGCCAAGTACCCCCATCTTGTAACTTTGTTTTTGGTTTCTTTTTTCTAGATGCGGTACTTTATATTTATCCCTGTTGAATTTCATTCTGTTGTTTTCAGCCCAGTGCTAAAGTCTATCTAGATATTTTGAATTTTGTTTTTGTCTTCCAGGGTTTTTGCTATTCCACCCAATTCTGTGTCTTCTGCAAAACTGATTACTGTACTATTCCCTGCATCCTCTGATTCAGGTCAATAATAAAAATGTTGAAGAGCATTGGGCCCAGGACTAAGCTCTGGGGCACACCACTTGTTACTTCCTCCCAGCTTGTGAAAGAACTGTTAATCATCACTCTCTGAGTACAATTCTATAGCCAATTGTGTATCCACCTGACAGTTGTTCTGTCCCACCCACACCTAGTTAGCTATGGCAGTTTGTCAAAAGCTTTGCTGAAATCAAGATATACTATGTCTACAGCATTGCCTCCGTCTGTCAGGGAGGTTACCCAATCAAATAATAAGATCCAATTAGTCTGGCAGGATTTCTTCTTGACAAATCTGTGTTGGCTTCTAGTTATTATGGTTTATAATCTGTTTCAGACTCTTTCCTGGGATTGGTGTCACGCTGACTCGTCTGTTGTTCCCAGTTTCCATTTTTTTTGCTCTTTTTGAAGATCCGGACAACATTAGCCTGGCTCCAATCATCTGGCACCTCACCCGTTTTCCATGATTACAAGAAAATAATGCAATGGTTCTGAGAGTTATTCAGAAATACAAATGGCTATGACTTGAGTTGCAGCAATTACTCCACAACATCAGAATTGTTTCTGGCAAAACTATTTTACAACCACCAGCCCAAAGAACACAAGACAATTAAAAGCACAAATTAGTTATTTCAAAGTTTGGTAGTAATGCCTCTGCAGTTCTGAAGAAAAGAAAACTGAAGTGGAGGTGGAGACAGGTGCTAACATTTTAAAGTGATGACCTAACCTACCAAGAAGAATGCAGGCATCTATGGGCACACAATTGTAACAGTGTAACTAACAATAGATGTAACAATATAACTAACCATTGTTTAAAACAAAAGGAAACGTGGAAAGCTCAGAGACATTAAATACCAATGGAGATCAATTACTTTACACTGCACTTTAACAAAACAACTGAAAGCAGCTACTGTAGCCTCACTCAAGGACCCTCCCAGTCGCAACAATTGATGTTTGCAGAAGAAGTCTTGGGCTTCACTGGGAGGTGAAGCTGTCAGTCACTCAACCAACATTCTTCTTAAATATTACTGTTTTCCTCTTCTGGCTCTTAGTCGTGCCATATTTTTATTATGTTTTTAACCTCACAAGTTAACATACTTAACATAAAGGACTTGTGGAATATGCTGGTCCATGCTGGGAGTTCCCTTGGGTTCTCTGTTCTGTCCAGCTAATTTTATGTATGCCTACTCAGGAAAAGGCTCCCAAAGCAATCGCTTCAAACCACACAAAGCCTACTTCAAATCTACTCAGGCAAGCAAAGCCTAGCTATATGTTAACTCAAGAGAGACCCCCAACACAACAGCTTCTTAGAGGTAAACTTCTAATGTTGTAACACTCACCTTAAGGCCACAAAATAGGCTGATTCAACTGGTAGAGTATACGGCAGCATCATATAAGACATCAGTCGCATTGGTAGAAATTTGGAAAGCTGAGTGTAGAATCCACATCTCTCTTTACAAGCCTCCTGCAATGCTATCATTTACACAGTTATTAATCCTCAAGTAAAAAAAAAAACCATAACAGCTTCCAGGTTCACTAAAAATGACTAAGCTTTGTTTGAATAGTCCATAGCATGCATTTCATATCAGAAGCCAGCTACAACTGCTGACTTTTACTATTCTAATTTTATTCATTAGTGACACACTTTGTCATTTGAGTTACTATGAGGACCTGGGCTGGCCTCCTTTCAACCAGATCAGACTCATCAAACAAAGGAAGAAAAATTAGGGATGTCTCCTCTGACTGCAGGTAATTCATATTTTCACACTTTGAAGTGTGAAAATAAGAATTACCTGTAGTCAGAGAGTCATACTTAATTTTAGAGAGCTGAAAGTTAAGTGTATCCCGATTTTCAAAAATACAACTACTAGTAAACATCCAATCTCAGCCTCCTGTAAATGGAAGTTGAGTATGGAGTAAACAACAAACATAAGGAAGAAGGGAATTTGCTACTGAGGCCTGCTTGCTGAGTATACCTCTGCACTGATTTTAATTAGCAATCCCATCCTGCAATTAATTTACTTAAGGCACCATATATGTTCTTCTGCCATTAACAACTTTTACACAAAGGTAGCCATAGAAAACTACTCCAGCATGTATATCAAACTACATCCAAGTCCTTAGACAATTTTACTAAATCAATTTGCACAATATGAAAAGCACTCCATATACTGAATGTTTATCTAACTAAGTATTCATAACATACTTCTCAATCTTTACAGTATCTTACATGAAAATACTAGCTAACAGACATTAAGCAACAAATTATCTTATATCTTTTTATACTGCATGAGAACCAACAAGATTTCAACACAACAGTATTGTTTTCCAGAATAATACTTTAAAACCCCATTGACTTCACTTTGCAAAATTTAAATATACATGGAACTCTCACACTGAATTCATCTGGGAATATGTAAAAACTGAACTCTGCCTGGACTGTACCCACTGTTATCTGTGCCTACCATTACTAATTACTGCAACAATTTATAATAAAAAGAGGTGATACTTTTGATGTTTTACCTTTACGAAGTCTAGGAGGTAGGTTCTCAAAGATGGTTCCATCCAATGGCCAAGCAGCTAACTTCAGCTGGTCAATAAGCATTTCTTTGTTTTGCATGCCTTTTTTGCACTGACTTGCTGCAACAGCTTTTCTATCAATACATTTTGGGATTTGTGTGTGTTCCTCCTGGCCCTCCCTTGTTAAGGCCAAGTCAATGGAGACAGAATCCTGCACTATGCCTAGGAGACAAAATTTAAGAGTTTTTAATTCCAAAGTATGGCAGATACCTCAGTGCTTAACACAGCAGCTATAGGAAAGAAAGATTTCCAAAATTAATAATAATAATTGCATATGGTCAAGGCAATTCTGACTTATGGCAACTCTTGCCAGGGTTTTCTAGGTAGGGAATAGACAGAAGTGGCTTGCCATTCCCTTCTGAGTGTTTGGGGCAACAGCCAAGGTACCTACATTTTACTGTATGTATGAACACAATGTTGAATCTCAAAAACAAACCTAAGGCCACTTCTTATTCTCCAATCCCTACCATGTTGGAAGCCAATGAAGTTTAGGGTCCAACAACATCTAGAGGGCCACAGGTTGTCCAAAACTGCTTTATTGCATAGGTGGAATAAGATGAAAGGAGATGGCCCTGTAGATATCTAGATCTCAGATTTTGCCAGTTAAAACCAGCATTTTGAACTGGGTTAAAAACAGGCAGGGAGTCAATGAATATGATGCTAAACATTGGCTGAAATCGTGTTGGTGCAATTGCACACATGTGAGGCTGATGATATTATCAGCTGCAGGACCGGCAGCTGTGATTTTCAGACATTACAAACTCTCCCTCCTTGGTCTTAAAGTAGGGAGTCTTTGAACCAGGGTGGGATGGCATGTGATCAGAAACCTTTAATTAATGATAAAACTCTGCATCTAATGACATCATCAGCCGTAAGATGATGATGTCATTAGATGCAGGGTTGGTTTTTTAAATTTTATTTTAATATTGTTGTTAACCACCTAGAGTAGACTTCAGTCTAAATGGGCAGGATATAAATAAAATAAAATAAAATAAATAAGAAGTTCTTGCAACAAGATTTCAGCCAATATATCCGAGGAAACACAAACAACTGCAATTTGAAACACCTGCAGGTTTTGTCCACTCCTCAAAGGCGGACTCTCCCAAGTGTGCTATACTAATTTCATCTGACTGCTAGCAGACAATGGCAGAAATCATATACCATAGATGTGCAGGCACAAATCAAAGTTATGCTCACAGTAGCCAGAACAGTGCAAAGGCAAAGCTGCTACTACAAAGCAGTTCTGTCAGCACATTGCACAGCAGTTGTAATAAGAACTGGATGACTGATTATGCAATCAGATTCTGTGATTCCATTGCCTCAGCATAATGCCCAGCAAATTTATATAGGTACAAACAGGATTTCAGCCAACAAAGGACACAAGCCAGTGTCTCTTTGTATACAGAAATAAACAGATTTTTAAAATTTGCTTTTATGGCCACTCCTCTAATAATATCACTTAATATGTCTCATAGCCTGTTCACCACATACACAGCTGAACCACCAGGCTTCTTAGTATTCCATTAAATCACAGGCTTACTAACTTGAAATTACAAACAGTTACATACCATTTTCTTTCAAGTACCTAAGAGCATCCGAATACCCTTGTTCACAGAGCTCTCCTAGCACCTGAAAATAAGATGTCAGGAAAATATAAATTAACATTTTAGATGCTGATGAGAAAATGCTGATGTCTGGTGTAAGGGATATAAGAAGTGACAGAGGATGAATAAGAGCATACTTCATGAGATTAGATGCATACATTTTCCATAGTTCATAAAAATCAAGATACCATTAGATTATAATTATGTTTTAAAAAAAACACACCAGCATGAAATTCAAATTCCTAAATAGGTGAAAATGCATAGATTAACAATATGGAGGAGGAAAGCAAGAACACATGCATGGCTGACCCTCCCCCACTTGCCCATTTTATCAAACATGCAAATATGCAATTCTCCCAAGGAGATGGTCCCCTCCCCATTTTAGTCCAAAATATGGTTTCTCAGAAGATAGCCACTGAAATAGCTGAACCACCAGGCCACTTATTGCACAGATTCAGAATCCTACAAAAACAAAAAGAAAGAAAACAGAACATTTGTAATACATCTGAAAAAACTTTTTAAATATGTAGAAAATGTTCTGTATATTAGAATTTTCTTTCACATATAACTATTTTTTGCACAACCAATTTGGCATCAAGTGGAGCAACTCTAACTCACCTGAATTATCTTTCAAGATTAATCTATTATAATAGGTGTAGTCATGCTCGCACCTAGTAAATTCAGTTCTTCAACAAAACTCCGGTGGGATATTGTGCTTCTGTATTCACAATTCCAAACACCAGAAAAATGGCCCAATATTGTTGCATAATATTGTCCCTGCACAGCCAACAGGAAAAAAGGACTCTAAGCTTTACATAGCAAAGGACAGCCTGAACGTTAGCAACACCAAGGCAGCAGTCCAGACGGTCTACAGGATCCCCTCTTCTGCTCACTACCATTCACGCTTGCTGAAAAACGGCCCTGAGAATTGTTTTGTGTTTGAGTGAGGATCATCATTCACAGTGAAACCAAACGAGGGAAAATCCCAGAAACTAACTCCTTTTTTTCATCAGTTAACCACTTCTCACTCAAACACAAAGCAATTGTCAGGATTGTCCTTTTGACAAGTGTGTTGGCAACACAGGCACAATATTGTGCAGCAATATAGAGACACTTTCTGCTGTTTTGAATCATGGATACAAAAATACATATCCTACATTCATAAAACAAAGGGTTTTTGAAGAATTGAATATCCTGGCTTCTTTAAATAGAAATATAAGTATACATACACTGCACACAAATCTGAACAGCAACTTCCCTCATGCAGAATGACCCAGTGCTAGAGGATCCCAGAAGAAGAGCATATGATCTGTACTATGCTTGCTGGGAAAGGACATAAAATAGCTAGGATGTGCTGCATTCCCTCTGTGCCAGGAAGAGGAAGAGACAGTAAGAAGAGAGAACAACCTAATATGAGATGCTGTTGGTTTGCTGGATCTTTTTTTGCCAGTTACCAAACAATTACATAGTGATAAGATGGGTGGAATGGTTGAAACAATGAAAATATAGGCACCAAAGCTGTGCTAACATCAAATTAGACCACCCAAGCCATAAAGTAGAAAAACAGTAATTTCACAGCTTAAACAAGAAAGCTTCTGAATAATTTTTCTCTATTCTTATTTAATATATTTTAAAACATTTTAACAACCAGACACAGACTCAATTTGTAATGTCCATTTGGCCAGGAAGAATTTTAAAAGTTCTGCTCATGAGAGTCAGATAATTGGGTCCTGATTAGATTACCCCAGATTTAGAGTTGATTTCCTTTTTGAAGACTTGTGTTAGGAGCCTGGTTTCAGACATGTTTAATGAATGTGCCCAGGGCTCAGACAAATACAACCATGCTTTTATAACGCAGAAACACTTTGAATATGCCTTACAAAATTGTATGTTGGTTCCTTGGAGATACATGGAATCTATTTATGGAGGACTGTCATTCCAATATTTTCTTTAATGCAAGCCTGATTTTTTTTAATGTTTTAAGAAAACCTATCTTTTCATTCTTATCCTACAGCCTTTCCCCATCCCCATATAAAGCTGCAACAATGTATCTGCTTGGAACACTCTTGCTAGTAAGCCAGTATATCAAAGTCACAATTTTTGCCTTTTGAAGGCTCTTTTTTGAGGATCAATATTTCAGCCACGGCACCTTGGATTCTTTGCAAATTTAAAAAATTGGTGGTTCAATCATTTGCTTTCGAGATAAGCCAATTTTGCCTTTTCTATTTATTTGATCTGTTTTAAATTTGGGGATATTCAGGATCACTTGTTTTTGCATGAGGATATAAAAGAGTTTTATATTTAAAAATCATAACTCAAAAAGACTTTGTCTGAACTTCCCCAACCTTGGTACAGAACAAAAGTAGACTGACTGTCACATCTGTGCCAGATCTGGTGCTGATCCAAAGTCCATTTTCAGTGTCATAAATTTTAGCTGCCTTGGGTCCTTTTTAAGGAGAAAGTTAGGACAAAAATGTTTTAAATAAATAAATTTAAATAAATAGAGTTGCCTCATAGAATGTTGATTTGTTCTGCTGCACGAAAACATCACTGCACTCTCATGCAGTGATAATACTCTCCCCAGTCCAAAAATTTTATACCAGTGATCCAAAGTCTGCAAAACCTTCCTGTGGCTTTTATGTGATGTTTTTGTCATGCAAAAGTCTTAGAGCTCTGTGAGCAACATATCATAAGAACACATTACAGAGGAAAAAATGTAGTTAAACATTTTTCTCACTAGGGAGATAGCAAACTCCTACAGCTTGTAGGAAATATTCTTGGCTTCTGTGGAGGAAAGCCAATCATCACAGAACAGAATAAGAATCTGTACACAGAATTTTCACCATGCTATATGGCTGAGTCATCTTGAATTCTATCAATTCTGTCTTGGGGGAGAGACAGCGAGCAAGGTGCGCTGCTAGCCCTTTTTCCTGAGCATCTGAGCCACCACTGAGCGATGCCTGAGAGCGGAGCTTGCTCCCGGCCTATCTTCAAAGAGCGCCTCTGAGCCGCCAACAGCAGCTGCCGCTGCCTCCGCCTCTTCCAGGGAAGCGGCTCTCTGGCTCTCTTTCTTTCTCAGCACCCCCAGCACCAGCCTGGCCTCCGCACTCAGCGGTGCTTCCTCCTCCTCCTCCTTGTGCTGGTTCAGCCACCTCAGCTCTGGAGGCTGCCTGGGATTGCCTCACAATGTTTGCTCCTCTGCTGTGGTGGGGGTAGCTACTGCTGCACCTTTTTTGAGGGGGGCCCTCAGAGGAAGGTTGCCGGATCTCCGTGTGTGTGTGTGTGGGGGGGTGTTTGTGCATGCATGTGCACCTATGTGCACCTGTGGGGCCCCCCGCCCCACTCTGTTTAATTTCATGGGTACCGATGAGGAGTTTTCTCCTTTGGCAAGGCAATTGTGAAGTTTAAATTTTATGTCATGCCCTCCTCTCCCCCGGTGCTCCCTCCCTTCTCCATTTCTTCGTCCTGCTGGTGGTGGTGGTGGTGATGGTAGTGAAGAAGGAACTGGAGGGGGTCGTGGCTGGCGATGAGGGCTCGTGCACCCCTCCTCCTCCTCCTCCCTGGAGCCCCAGCCGGGCTAAGGAAACTCCCGGGCAGCTTCCTCGGGCTCTTGCTCCGCTTGGCGGAAAATCTGATGCGGCCCAGCCTTGCCCAGACTCTGCCTCCAGCGGCTCCCAGGTAAATTGAGTTTGAGACCTCCAAGTTAGATCATCTGTGTGTGCGTGCTTGTGTATGTATATGCATATGCACATTAACAATTATATAGTTGCTGAAGTTTTTATAATATATTTTTCTGCTCTCAGTATGTGGGACAGGATAATCTTTAAATTTTAGTATATATAAATTTAAATGTGACCATTTTTGCTTGCTTATTTAGAGAAAAAAATTAATTTAATTGATGCATGCCAGCTTTGCCATAATGTCAGCCTACATCTGGGCATAAGAGAGTTATAACGTATTTCAAGTTATAATGTATCTTGTGCTTTTACACAATAATATATACCCCCAAATCTTAAGCAAACAATGAAATTGTTTGCATAACAATTTTTGTATTTGATAAGCAAGTGCTTCTGCAATAAAGCAAAAACAGAAACAACAGGGAAGAAATATAAAACATTATTAAAAGTCTTTGCAAACAAACTCAAATGGCTGAACAGTAACAGTACTGGAGAACATTTGATTATATGACTTCTTGGAACTTCTGCTGCATCAAAACTTCTAATCATCCACATTCTTAAGTGTAAGCAATTACCATTCTTTACCTAAGCCTTTCCCAAAACTGTTTTGCATGTAACCCTCATAATCTCTAACTACAGGCCATGCTATCAGGATGGATGTGAATTACAGAGCAAAACATCTGGGGTGATCAAAGTCAACAAAGGCTGCTTCAGATAATCATTGAGATATTTATATTTTTAAAAAGGTAAAGGTTTCCCTTCACAATTTTTGTCCAGTCATGTTCGACTCTAGGGGGTGGTGCTCATCCCCGTTTCCAAACCATAGAGCTAGCGTTTCGTCCGAAGACAATCTTCCGTGGTCACATGGCCAGTGCGACTTAGACCCGGAATGCTGTTACCTTCCCACCGAAATGGTCCCTATTAATCTACTCACATTTGCATGCTTTCGAACTGCTAGATTGGCGGGAGCTGGGACAAGTGACGGGCGCTCACTCCATCACGTGGATTTGATATTACGACTGCTTGGTCTTCTGACCCTGCAGCACAGGCTTCTGCGGTTTAGCCCACAGTGCCACCACGTCCCTTATTTATATTTTTATTCTGACTCTAACAGAATATGATAAGGGCTGCCTTAGACAACCAGGCCCCAAGCCATTTTGGGCTTTATAAGTTAAAATAAACACTTTAAATTAGGCCAAGAAAAATAACTGGCAATTTGTGTAGATCTTTTAGCACTGAAGTAACAATGATCTCAATACTAAAATATTGATACCCTCCTAAAAAGAAATGTTCCCAGTTAATTTAGATACTCGAGATACTTGAGATCAGAGGTCCTCAACCCCCGGTCCGTGACCCAGCAGCAGCCTGCAGCCTATGCAGACTGGGCTGTAGACACAGATCTCCTACCCCCCCACACACACGAGCAGCCCCCGCGAACATGTTCTGTCTCCTGCAAGTGTACTGTGCACATGCGTGCGAACATCCCCCATAAGCGCAGCATGCACGCAATCAAGCTCCACCCCTTTGCAGGCATGCTACACACACCCTCAATCGGTCCATGGATGAGAAAAGGTTGGGACCACTGCTCTAGATTATTGCATCATCTTCCTGGGAGAGTTCTGTACAAATTTATTTAGTTACCACTTTGGGAAATATCTATCATTCCACAATAGCAACTTTCAAACATAAATACTAATATTCTTAGAGAGACAGTTCCACTAAAAGGAAAAAAAATACAGACACATTACCTTGGGTTCTGGAGGAAAAAGTGCTTGAGTTAACCGGTACATATTCCCTAAGCTAAACTGAATGCTGGTGTTGGTTACGTTCATTTCATGGAAGTTTGCAGAGTTACCCTTGGGACAAATGTCACACTCCCCAGAAAAAGGTGAAATTGTGATGGTATTCTTTGAGTCATACTGAGGTAAATTGTCACTTATTCCACCATCCACGTAGCGCTGTAAAGAGCAAGAATCAGAAGGAAAGAGACAAAGCATCTTACTTGCTTAAGCAAAATCAGCTTTGCTTTGGTAGATCAGAGAAAAGTCACCTAGTATATTCAGAAATGAATTACAGGACGAATCAATACACCAGCTATGTACTAGAATCATATTTTTGGGTAATGATGGGAAAACCATTCAACTGGAAAGCTTTCAACAATCAGTATATTTTATGAGTGAGATAAGAAAACTGAGGGAGAAAGAAACCTACTCATGGTCATATAACCACTGAAATACCTGCACGTTTCTTACCTAATATGGTAGTCTAGTGTTACCTAATTAGATAAGAAGCTTGCAGGTACTGAAATAGATATATGACCACAAGTAGGTTTTTTCTTTAGAATGAGAATATACTGTCCACCTGTCATGGAACATGTGTACTTTATCCAGATCAATATCATTTTTGTAACATTAAAATTTGAGTTTGCCTCTTGTTATCTAACGTTTTCTGACTCTGGAGCATTCTACTACATCCATATAACCTACTGTCCAGCAATAGAGTTCCAATAATAAGGCTAATCCAAACTCAGTTGCTTGAAGCAACAATAAAAGAGGATCTCAACATTTCATATGGAAGGTAAGCATACAATTTCAGACAATATGCTTTCCAGATGTTGAAAGGTTTTGGGCCAGAATGAGGGGAAACATTTTGAGCAAATCTCTCTCTGGTCTCTCAGAAAGCTCACATCCTTCCTTTCTTGCCCTTCTTTCCCAGTTTAGGCAAAGTGGCTTGCTTTTCAACATTCTATTTTCCTTCTATGCACATTGCTCTTTTATGCTGTTTCTATGACACTAAGTGAAAAGCCATTTCAGAAAATAAACTAGAGCTACAAAAATTCCTTTTATTTGCTATCTCAAGTAAATCATTTTAGATTATATAACTGAGGACCAACCAACAAGATTAACCTGAATCTAGATTAATTCTGAATTTATTCAATATGCTATTCTACACAACATGTGAGATTTCAGCTGTTAAAAGTAAGAGATGGATATACATAAGACTGTTTTAGAAGTTCAGATTCCACATTTTCACACAATGATATCACCAGATCTCAGGCTGCTATTCTTTATGGCTTTGATTGTGAAGGAAAAAATAGACAAACAAAGCTTTCATTCATTTTTTAAAAGATTAATTTTATCTTTTCACATGTGCACATGCATGTTACAGATTAATTTGCCTTTTTTTGCTTGCAAAACTATAAAAGCAAAAATTGTACTGATAAAGATCAACATTTGCTATACAGCAGGCAGAATTTAATAGGATTCTTCAGGTTCTAAGTATGGCCTTGAAATACACTGCCTAAGAAAGAGCCTTAAAACAATTAAGAGGATAACAATTAGCATTTCATCCTCAAGACTGCCTCCTCTTGTATTATGCAAGACAGTTCTCAACAAACAAATAGAAGCCAAAGCCACTTCTGCAAACTGTAATATGTTTTCACAGCAAAACTTATATGCATGTATATGCTATACAAACCATGCAAAAATTGAACATATTTACAGTATATTCATAGAATATACATGCACAAATATTTGTCTTCCATGGACCAATTTGCATGCAGTGCACTTCCAGGGATGGTTCAGGAAATTGCAATATAACAATAGTTAAGCAATAGGCAGGCAACAGGCACACCCTCATGTCTCACACTTTACACACAGTGGCTGAAATCCTATTCATGAGAATCTGATGACAACTTAAGTTGTGACACCTTTATGGAAATTAAACATTTCCTATTTCTGTCCTGAGACACTCATGCCTCCCATGTAATCCCTTTCATTATCTGGAACCCATCAGCGCCACTGCATGGGAGAATAAAGTCTTTAATTACCAAAAATCACCCCTACCAGGATGACTTCGTTGGCAGCAGCAACTTTCAGTAATGTAAGACATCCTGCAGCGCTAACAGATTCCCAAGAATAAAAAGGATTACACAAGAGCCAAGAATGCTTCGGAACAGAAGTAAGTGTGATTGGGATGTAGTTTCATTTCCTGTGGTTTCTTGGTTTCCACTCCAAAAAATTGTGAATATTCATTTGTATGCATAAACTAACATCTAACAAGTCTCTCTGAGACCAGCAGTCTCCATTCAGATGTAGAAAAAGAATTAACCAATGAGGGTTTACCCCCAAACGCTCACAGTGTGTTGGTTTCCACATAGGATTCCGTAACCTGAAGACATAGTCCTGCCGCATGGGTGTCTTGCCCATTCTCCTTTGGTGGGAGCTGTAGGACGGCTGGTGGGTGTTGGTTGGACCTCCTTCTTCCAAAGATTTCCCTTTGGGGTATACCTGCATACTGTCCATTCGATGGGTTCAGCCCATTCCAATTGTACTGCAATGCCTCCCTTCTCTCTCTGTAGGGTATCTATTTTAAGCTTTTCACTTTTAGTCTCAAGTTGGTTCAACAGATGGCGCTGCTGTCTCCTCTCTATCTCTTCAAGGGGAAGTTTAACCTTAACGTTCTCCTAAGTATAGTGGTGCCCCGACTTATGAACGTCCTGACATACGACTATTTTGAGTTATGACCAGCTCCGGCCACAAACTTTTGCTTCGACTTGTGGCCGGAGCTTCAAGTTACAACCAGAAAAAGGCAGGGGGAAAAGGCAGGAAATTCAAATTGCTAACAGTTGGTGGCGAAGAGGCTGCTTCTTTGTAGCTCTTTCACCCCAGCAGTTAAGAGAGTGCAATCGGAGGAGGCTTCGGACTGCCTGGTAAGGTAAGGTGCTGCTTTCTACTTTTTAAAAACTGTTCTGGGTGGTTTTGGGCTGGGTGGTGAGATTATATTTCTATGCTGTGATGGGTCTTGCAGGGTTTGTTTTTTTGGGGGGTTCCCCCATTTCCAATGGGTCTTGCAGGGTCTGTTTGCTTTTTGGGTTCCCCCCATTTCCAATGGGTCTTCTGGGGTTTGTTTGCTTTTGCTTTGCTTTTTTGCATTTACAATGGGTCTTGCACGGTTTGCTTTCTGCTTTGCTTTTTTGCATTTCTGATGGGTCTTGCATGGTTTGTTTGCTTTATGCTTTTGTTTTTTTGCATTTCTGAAGAGTCTTGACGGTTTGTTTGCTTCCCCCTCCCCTTTGGCTGGAACGAATTAATTGTGTTTCCAATGGGTCTTACCAGTGTTGGCGTTTGTTGTTGTTGTTTTTTGCTGATTCTTTTCTTCAGCTGGAACGGATTAATTGAATTTCAATGCATTCCTAGGCGTGAAATGGTGCTTTGACTTACGGCCATTTTTAGTTAAAACCACAGTTCCAGAACCAATTAAATTCTAAGTTGATCATGGATCTTCCATCTCCAGCCATCCCCATCATAGCGGGATATCCTCTTCTCTCTCTCCCTCTTTCTTTCTCTCCTCCCTCCTGTTCTACCTTTTTTCCCCAATCCACCTCTCTTTTTATTTCCTCCTCTACCTCCGTTACCAAGTACCCCTCTGCAATTGGGAGATTTTCCCATCTATTGTTTTCTCACCCTTTTCATCTCTCTCCCTCTCCCACTCTTTTGCTCTTATAATCTTATAAACAGTCTCATAGCTCTCCATAGCGGACGGCTGACCCTCCTCTTGAGAGCTGTGGCTTACTCCTTCTCACAGTAGGAAATGTTTAATTTCCTAAAAATCGTCCAAGCTTATGATGTCAACAGTAGAGATGGGGGTGTTCATATATGAATATCCCTGCAAAGCTGGAAGTAATGAGAGTCTGGCCCCTGGGACCACCATCCACTCACAAATCCACCACCACCAGTGGCCCCACTCATCCCTCCAATCACTCCTGCAGTGCCATTCTCTTCCTGGTCAACTAGCCACTCCTGGCAGAAGGAGGAAGAGGAGTCTCCCTTCAAGGCTGGCAGCTAGCCGAGCGGTGCTCCAGAGCAATTGGAAGGAAGAGAGTGGCCACTGGACATGTGAGTGGACAGTCTGGCCCCAGGGGCCAGACCCTCATTAACCCCAGATGTGCCGGGATATTCATATTCGTATTCAAATACTCCCATCTCTAGTCAACAGCTTTATGTGGTATAACATATGGAAATAAAATTTCAGCCATTATTAAGCAATGTGGGCTCCTAAATGTACACAATATACACATACATGTCCCATTCCTCAGTCCGCCTATCTTCAGTCTGTTTGGAGGAACTGTAGTAGTAAACGTTTCTCCAATAGCTTTTTGTATTCTTGATTACACATTTTCCTCAAGAATCTATAAAAGAACAAACTAGTACTTACCACCCCTCTAAATGAAGGTGGAATGAGACCACAATATATTGGCACAAATGAACTGCAAAGCAAAGCCTAGAATAAATGAAAATACAAGTTAGCTTTTCATCTGATTTCTAGAGGAGGAAAATATTCTAACAAGTAAAATAATTTTCAGAAGTTCTGTTTTGGGTTGCGGGACTTTTTCTGTATTGACTTCCCAGTTGAAGTACATCAATCAGGTTGCCAGGCACCACTGGGACAGGGCCTGTTTCAGTGATGGCCCCACATTCAATGATGCCCCTTTAGAATGCTAAGGCTCTTCTTTCCTGCTATCTTTAAACAGACTCTAAAAACCTGTCATTCCACAAAGGTATTTATTTCCATTTCCTTTTTTCTTCTCACTTTTTGTTGACCCTTGTACAATATTTTACCTGATTCTGTTTTTACTATGTTATTTGTCAATTCTGCAGATTAAAAAAAAAAACAATATTTGTTGAACACTACCTTGTGAGAGGTTGCTCTAAAATAGAAACAGGCAATCTCTAGCCTGTGGGGCCTCTCCATCTGTAGAGCCATAACTGCTCTCCTAGGACTTGGCACTGCCTTCAGCTACACCTCTTCTATAATCAAGTTCTCCCCACTATCCTATTTCATGACAATAAGCAAAGCAGCAGAAAAGATACTGTGGAAGATAAGAGATCTCATCTACCCTTCCCTGTGGGAAATGGCTAAAAAGCAGGGGGGAAATGCACAGCTGAAGATTTTTGTTGCTTACAGAGGGTGAAATACCTTTCTTCCTTCATTGGCCATCCAGTTAGTTTACATGTTAAGCAAGTTACATATCTCAGCATTCAAAATGAAGCATTATCTGATATCTCAGTATGTGTGGATGTAATGGATTTGTGAATGGGCCCTTCAAGGATACTAGAGTATTTAAGGGTACACAGATTTAAGGGTACAGGACTGTGGTCAGTCTGTTTTGCCTGTTACTGCATTATAAACAGAAGGCATCTTAAAGTATACTCACTTCTCCTTAAGGCTCCAAAGAAATGGGGGATGTTGACAACAGAGTGATTCCTAGTCAGGCTAGTTTTCAGAATCTTCCCACATGAGTACCTGGAATAGGAACTCCTCATTTGCTCTTAATGCATAAAGTGAGGAGGAAGAAAGGGATGCATTTGCTCTCTGGCTTTAGTATGTATTTTCAGTGGGTAACTGACTTTACATGTTACATGTAAAAAATTAGCTTTTTTAGAAACTTTGGGAACAGAAACATACCTGCACAACTTCTTCTTTTGACTTAAAATTGGATACCAACACATTTTTGCCATCGGATACTCTGGTAAGTGAAATGAGAAGTTTCCCTGATATCAACTGATGAGTGTTTTCTGGAAGATTTTTGCAGAGTCCATCTCTCATTATTTTCATCACATTGAAAGAAGGATGAAGAGGGCCAAGATTTCGCTTTCGTGCCTCTTTGGCTAGATCCAGAACATCAGCACAAGCTTCAGCTGAAAGATACATTCATGTTTATAAAATGAGATGCATTTTTAACTGCTTTTGAAACATGAACTGCTGGAGAGCTCAGCGGTTTAGGCAAAGATTGGGAGTTTGTATCCCGACTGTGCCTCCTTGATAGGAGCTGGACTCTGTGATCCATAGGGTCCCTTCCAGCTCTGCAGTTCTAGGATAATGGGGACGATTCAATTTATGATTTCATTTATAATTTTGTCTGTTCTAGCTTTTAAGAACTTCTCTTACTCTTCTTTTTCAACACTATCAAAAACCACGTGAACAACGTATCATTTAACCAAAAAACACTGGCACCTCGTCTAAAACCCAGGATAACAACACAGCAAAATACATCTGATTGGGGGAACAGTTCAAATACTGAGTTGTATGTTGTTGCTGTTGTTATTATGTGTCATCAAGTTGCCTCCAACCTATGGTAACCCTATGAATGAGTGGATGAATGACCTCCAAAACATTATGTCACTAATATCCCTGAACTGTACAACACAAATTACTTTTTTCCCCTAGCATACATTTCACCAAGGAAAGTACATTACAAATGTGCAATCTATAAAAATATGCATTACAGTGGGGTCTCTACTTAAGAACTTAATCCGTATTGGAAGGTGGTTCTCAAGTTGAAAAGTTCTTATGTTGAATCTGCATTTCCCATAGGAATGCATTGAAAACCATTTAATCTGTACAGTATCTGCTCTTTTCCGTCCATAGAAACTACAGTGGAACCTCTACTTAAGAACTTAATCCAATTATGTGTCATCAAGTTGCCTCCAACCTATGGTAACCCTATGAATGAGTGGATGAATGACCTCCAAAACATTATGTCACTAATATCCCTGAACTGTACAACACAAATTACTTTTTTCTCCTAGCATACATTTCACCAAGGAAAGTACATTACAAATGTGCAATCTATAAAAATATGCATTAAGTGATTAGTGTGACGGTTGTCCCACGTCAATCCTGTCACTCACAGTGTGGCTCTCATTCGTATGAGCCTATGAGAGGAGTGGAGCGGTGGAGACAGGGGATATGAGAGAGTTTTGGCAGAGAAATGGCAGAGGAGAGAAGCAGAAAAAGGCAGAGAGAAAGAAGCATAGAGAGATAGTCAGGGAGATAGTGAGAAGATATAATAGAGATAAGCTGGTCAAGATAAACAGATAGAGCAGGTGGTGAAGGTGGCAAGATATATAATATTTGAATGAAGAACATCTGTGATTATAATTAAAGTTAATACCTTTCAATAAATAAGTTCTGTTGGCAACAACCTGACTAGTGTCTGACAAAAGTTTTTTATAGATTGTGGATAAAGGAAATCCACTGGTGGCAGTGAGAAAAAGGGGGAATGTCCCAATTGTTATCTGCTGGTGGGAAGACATAGCGTGAGCCCTTTGTCTGAGGAAACAAGCAGGGGTTGCGTGGTAAACGTCACAGTTAGTAACTTTAGATTCTTGTCTCCAGTCAGAGAAATGAGAGCTGCTGCCTTTGGCTCAGCTGTTGTATCTCCTTCACAAACAAAATCAGTAACAACAAAAGATCAGTCTGGCTTCATGACATTTATATTTACATGAAATATAAATTAACAATTCGGGTTAATCTGCACAAGCCTCTGTGCTGCAAGGTTGTAAGATCAAATCCACGCGACAGAGTGAGCCTGTTGCTTGTCCCAGCTCCCACCAACCTAGAAGTTCAAAAGCATGCAAAAATGCAAAATGTGAGTAGATAAATAGGTACCACCATGGTGGGAAGGTAACAGCATTCCACGTCTAGTTGTGCTGGTCACGTGACCACGGAAGATTGTCTTTGGACAAACAGTAGCTCTATGGGTTGGAAATGGAGATGAGCACTGCCCCCTAGAGTCGGATACGACTGGACAAATTGTCAAGGGGAACCTTTACCTTTACTTTGTTCTGGCATGTGGAACTGCTCTCTCTCCATCACCATTTCCCCCCATTCCCCTTCAATTCACTGTCTTTTTTTGTCTGAAAAGATTGATATTGGTGTATATCTCTTTTTAAATATATACTGTATTACTTACTATGGGTGGTATTTTTCTGAAAAGTAGGGTAAGTACAATATTTTGGAAAAAATAGAATAATTAAAATTATTCACGAAGCCTTGGGAAAGTTATCAGGCATCATGTATTTTAAACGATTATAAGCCTGACTAAGGTTGCAGTACTATGTTTATTTCCCTAGAAATAAGTCCCGATTGTCTTCAGACAAAACGCTGGCTCTATGGCTTGAAGAGCGGGATGAGCGCCGCCCCCTAGAGTCGGACACGACTGGACAAAAATTGTCAAGGGGAACCTTTACCTTTACCTTTAAGGTTGCAATACTATATTTATTTCCCTAGAAATAAGTCCCATTTAATTCAGCGGACTTAATTTTGCATAGGTTTGTATACCTGCAATAAATTATGAGCTTTGCCATGTGATCATTGGAAAACATGCCAAACCTATTCACCAAACTGACATATTAAACTAGAACAGAAAATAATTTGAAGGCACATGACATAATATGAAGTTTTAATGCTGACCCTGTAAGCTGCCTAGATGAAAGACCATCTAGGAAGTATATGTAAGTTCCCATTAAGCCCTTTGAAGGAAGAGCAGGAAATAGAATAATAAAGTGGATTATTATCAGAAAGTAGAAAAACAGATTGATGTGTGATTGTTTAAAAAGATGTGGTCAGTTGACCAGCAACATCTAATAAAGCCCTTTGAAGGAAGAGCAGGAAATAGAATAATAAAGTGGATTATTATCAGAAAGTAGAAAAACAGATTGATGTGTGATTGTTTAAAAAAATGTGGTCAGTTGACAAGCAACATCTAATATTTTTAAGTTAACAAAATAATCAACAGGTATGATAGTTTGCACAGTACAGACACAAAACTAGCTATCTGTTAATGTCAAAGGTCACCAAACATAGCTGACTAGAAGGTAATCAGAAAATAGATGGTTACTATGCTCCTACCTCTTCCTGAAGGGACACGGCCTTGTCACTGACCTGGCACAGCCCCTTAAACAGCACAGTTCCTTCCACAGCCAGAAGTTTATAACATTTACTGTAACATTGATTCATGTCAGGGAAGGCTTATATAGGTGTGAGCAGTTTATAGTTCTCTTTGACTTTTAATCTGAACTATAGTCAAGCCCACTGTTACACAAGTTTCAAAAGATAAAATTAAAATAAATAAAGCAAAGCATTGGGTTTATATTTTAACTGGTAATCATGCTAAGGTCAGAGCAGGCCAACTTTTCAAAAATCAAAAGTATCATGACTTCATCAAGAATTTGACCACAATCAATGTATAGGTCAGTTGAAAATATTCTATCAGTCAATTTATTGGCATGTCAGATTTAACAATGCCCAACTACAAATCAGTGTGCAAAGTAAAGATAGGAGCCATTCCATATAACAGCTTGTTACAAAGCCCTTAGTGTTAACAGCCTTATGTTTTGTTTTGTTTTTGCCAAGGATGCACTGAAAATATATTTCACAGCCAATATTTTATTGGGATAATCCAAAATATTTCCAAATCAGCCACAACACATTCTTACTCTGATATCTTATCACAGAATTGTATGATATAGTGCATTTCTGACCAATTTTCTTAAACCCTGTCTTATAGACAAGAATTTCATTTTGTTGACATTGAAGGCTCACTTACTCCTGCTCTAAGAGCTTCCCAAGAAATGGTAAAGGCTAATGCCCTGTAGTAACCTTTTCCATGGGGATTGATAGCTAATCGTGTCAGCAGAACCTCAGCTTATTTTTTTCACCCGATCACAGAACAGCAGCTTCTACCACCACCAGTTTATTAGGGCTACTTTTCATTCCTGTCACAACTTTTGTCCTTTGTTACAGGAAGTCAGAGTCAACATTCCAGAAGGAGTCAATCCTGACTTATGGCAACCCCTTTCAAGTTTTCTAGGTGAAGAATACTCAAAAATGGTTTACTATCCTTCTTCTGGGGCATCCTGGAACTGCGCAGCTGGTAGTATTGTATACTCTGGGCTTCTTTGATTTTTCAAAATGATCTTTTTATGGTCTGTATACATGTGTTTTGTATACATTAATATTTACGTATATCCAGGATTTGTTACAATCATAATATTTACTTATCTTGGACCAAGGATTATAATGTGAATTTATACAGAATTTACATATACCATATACTGTAATTTAGAAATGGATGACAACTGTGGCCCGGTTCATCATCTCCATTACCGTGAATTTATACAGAATTTACATATACCATGTAGTTTAGAAATGGATGACAACTGTGGCCCAGTTTCGAACTGCATATCCCATCATCTCCATTACTTCTGCTGCAAAGGGCTGACCTGTTGTAGTCATGTGACACCTGGACAGCCACCCAATTAGAACAACCAAAATAAATATTTTGGAGAAAAAAATGTCTTCATACGCAAAATTTAATAATCCATTTAAAAAACAAAGTACACAGTAACTGATAATGTTTTAATTTTTTAATTACCAAAATGTAGTAGTAAAAAGCTATATATTTCATCAGAACAGTGGCAACAGAGTGATTAATCCTTTCCCTCTGGGCCATGTTTTGCACTGAAGTAATTCCAGCCTGCTGCTTTCTCGTGGGACAAGGGAAGATGCAGTTTGGGGGGAACTGATCAATATTGATCAATAGATTAGTTAGCCCATGCCAAAAAATTAGACAAAGCTACGTACTGCTGTTTTGATCAAATTGACATCCCCCTCTCAAAAATTTCAGTGGGGTTTTTAATATTGAAAGACTGTTCACCTATCCATAGTGTGTATAACCGAGCTTTTATTTTAACTGTGTAACTTTTTGCTGTCAACAAAAGAAATTTTCTTTAGAAAGATGTATGTACGCACCACCAAATTATTTTCTATATATCATGGGCAACAGTGAGTGCTACTGTCCAATCTTTCTTCTTTCTGCTGGCCAGTTTTTACCTAACTTGTAATGAGAATTCTGGCTTAATGTGGGAGTCCATTACAATTCTTGGTGCAGTGGATAGGATGTTAGACTAGGACCTGGGTTCAAATCACAATTGGAGAATGAATTGGACTGGGTGACCTTGGGCTAGTGACACTGTCTCAGCCTGAGTTTCCTTGCAGAATTACGAGAATGAAGTGGGGAGGAAGAGTGTCACGCATGCCACCATGGGCTCGCTGAAGGAAAAGGGATAGATACATGTAAGAAATCATTATTTGGCAAAAGGAAATAAAAATATAGTACAACAGCATTTACACACACAGTTTCTTGACAGCTGGAGGAAAGATCAGTTTGAAGTTGTACATTCTCTTAATGAGATAAAAATATTAGAATGAATCAAAAATCTATTAGAAAGTATATGTCTAAATTTAAATATTTTCACTACAAGTGTGAAAATCAATATGTTTTCCAATATGAAGTACTGGAAAATGCAATATGCAATATTTTGCGATCGCACAACGATCTTGCCTATGGGGAAAAATCGCTTTGCGCTGCTTACCCAGGTCGTTCCCGGACTGGCATGCTTTCGAACCGCTAGGTTGGTGGGAGCTGGGACAAGCGACGGGAGCTCACTCCGTCACGTGGATTCGATCTTACGACTGCTTGGTCTTCTGACCCTGCAGCACAGGCTTCTGCGGTTTAGCCCGCAGCGCCACCACTGAATCAAAAATCTATTAGAAAGTATATGTCTAAATTTAAATATTTTCACTACAAGTGTGAAAATCAATATGTTTTCCAATATGCAGTACTGGAAAATGCAATATGCAATATTTAGCAGTCATAGGAAAAGGATATTCTTTCATTTAATTCATACACTAATTAAAAAGTGAAGGCAACATTTCAATGGATAAGAGTTTAAGCCTCTAAAGTACTTAAGTAAGATTTTCACACACTATTCAATGTGCAACGTGCAATCTCACATACGAATTCCCTAAAAATTGTGTTATTGCTTTTCCAAGGATATAACGAAGAATCACTGCAAGACATATAATAGGAGTCTCAAAACAGTACATACCAGTGTAAATTAAAAAGGTACTGTACCTAACACACTTAAGGACCCTTTTAAAAAAAATCCCATTAACTATCATAGCTTTGTGTATGTACATTTGGACTATAGTCAGAACAAATGGTGACTGAAGGATTTTAGAGGAAAAGGTGGCGGGGCATTTTTACCAGAAAATTCTTGTTTCCTGTATCCGCTGGAGTGTGGGCTTCCCAGAACCTTGACGACAATACCTCCCATTGGATAGGAAAAAATAATTCAGCCCTGAGACTGCCATAAACAATGGCTCCATGCAACAGAAAATAAGGCAGTGAATGTAGATTAAAGAAAGAAGTTTGTTGGCACTAGCCAGACTGGACTACACCTTTGAAGCCATACGCAACCCGAGCTTTTAACATCAATTACCCCCCCCCCATTGTAGTTCCCAGCTCTTAATTCTAATAACAGGCCTTAAATCACTTATTGGTCCTAATATTACCAGACCTATTGGCCAGAACCCTGTTTATATATTCCAGCATAAGTGGAACAACATAAACCACAGAAAAACTGCCTCTAGCTAAATAGCTGCTGCTTGTTGTCCTTGTCATACACCATCTGTCTCCTTAACTAGTGGCACTAAGTCCACTGCTGTGATGTATGCCATTACACTAGCAGTAGCGTATGTAAGTAGCAGAATGATGGCCAATAAATTCATAAAACTTACAGAAATGCTGCCTTACCAAGTTCAGTGGGTCTACTCTGGTTGAGACTAACAAAAGCATTGCTGAAAATCTTTAGAATTCTATAGTTGCCTGCTTCTCCAAATAACTAGAATAGTAAACAATCTTTAAAACAATCTCCTGGTGCTACAAACTACTAGCCTATAAATAAAACACACTCACATCATCTCCTCAACACACACCAGAGCACACAAGGCAGCAGTATGAGCCCGCATTTGAAACATGTGATATTCCTTCTTCACCATTTAGAGATGCCACACTCACACAGCTGTAAGTGCAACTGATTTGTTATTGTTAAAAGCACAAATTACAATTGTAGTACAACTCAGTTATAACTCTGTTATTGGAAAAAAGAATTAATTACAATTAACTAGTTGTTATAAATACTTGTTTCCAAACGCTGGATACAAAAAGTCTTTCCTAGGAACCTGATGCAAAATGTGCAGGTGTCCTATCCGGTAGTGGGAGTGCATTTGCCTCCACTATCTCACACTACATATTTGCAGAGAGAGGGTGGGGAGGGAGAGGGAGACACTATAGAAAGACACAGTGTGTCTCTGCACTCACTCATCCAGGCTCTAATTTATTTTGTGGCATTACCACCAGACTTCCCTGGGAAATGGAGAGGTTGTTACAATACTATCAACTGCACAAAAGAGCACTGTAATAGCACCCTAAACAATGTACTGTATATCACTTCTCAATCTCTCATTCACTCTGTAGAGTCATCATTCTTACCCTGAGGCACCTCACCTTTATGGACCTAAAACTTCCTGATCTCCATCTTGCAACATTTTTATCACTCCACTCCTTCCTCTCTATTTCCTAACCTATGTTTACAAGTTATGCTTTCCCTTCTGATGAGCTGCCATGTATGGTATCTCAACACTTAGTCATAATACTGTACTCTCCAGCATATAATTGCATTACAGTCAGTGAATAGCTGCAACAGTATTAAAGAGCTAGAGTAACACAGAGTCTAAATGATGAAGATTTAAAGCTAGTAACCATAATCTTCCACATGCATTATGCCACCACAAGGATTTTGTAAAGATCACTGTGAATTGTTAGTATGTGATATAACTTCCAACACCACAATAAAAATAAAAGAGATAAATAAATGCAGTTGTTCACTCTTACTGGGTCAACCTGTTGGGTTACTGAATGTGTCTTTTTAAAGCTCTCTTTTTTTTAGAAGGGTTCTGCACATCTGCCACTGCAGAAGTCCACCACCACTGCCTTGTTCTACCTCCTACACTGCAATAGAATGGCACACTTTTCCCATCACAAGTGCTAAACTGAGAGAGGTGTCAGGACTCAAACCAAAACGGAAACCACCACCTCTAGTTGTATCAGTCCCAGAAATCCAAGGACTCTTAGAGATGTACCAGGCATGCAGTTAAAGCCACTCTTGCCTTCATTTTTACTCAGCTGAATCCTGGCACTGAAAACAGAGATCTGAGCCCAGCCTCTTGACAAGCAACATTCCATGACTTCTGATCCTCTCCTTACAGCCCTGTTATCTTCTAACATCATTTCATATTAGAGTAACCAATGATATTGGTTCCCCAGCAGTGTCTTTGAGTTTCGACATACCAAGCAAAAAAGACAGAATTTCCTCTTCACTTGTTCCCAGGTGGAAAAGCCTCATGTACTGTTTGTTACATGACAGCAAAAGCTAGAGTGGTTCTTCATTAAAGTGGTTTTGCAGCAAAAGTTAATTAAATATCTCTGCTAAATACAGCACAGATATTTACTTAACTTTAATTAACAATTCACTCAGAATAGCCTAACATTTATGACAAAGGTGCTTCCTTCTCACACAATAGCTCCAATTTCTTTTAACAATTGCAAAGACAGACAGAAATTCAACAGATTCAGCTTTTATCTGGTGGGAATTCTAGTAAGAAAGGACATTCATCTACTGAATACTGACTGTGAGACAATTTTAAAAATGCAAAAGAAACACATGAGTAGGTGACATTGACAAACACACTGATGAACCCATACCTATTTTATAATTCAATTGCTATTGACTAACAATATGATGAAAAAATGCCAGAAGGTAACTCTCCAAGATTCCTGACTTTCATCCCATGCTAAACAGGACATATGAAAATATTAGCTAGATAAACCTGCCACAATATCATTCTCAGAAATACTACATTTTAAATAGAATATTGCATAGCCAGCCTAAGAGGAAAGCTCCCAAAACAATGAACATTCTCAAGGAGTATACCAAAACAGGGTGGTTTCCCCAAAACAAAGGAAACATAATCTTCAGTGATGGGGGGGCTGATCTTTCATTTAAGTAATATTGATTGATTGATTTGATTTGATTTCTATCCCGCCCTTTTAGACAAAGTCTACTCGGTAAAGTAACTCATGATGCCCGGACTTGTTTACATTTCAAGGAGTTCAACGGCTCTTGTTCACCTGCATAAGAGCCTAGACTTAATTTGAAAACACTGAACACGTGCTTTAATGGACCAGCAGTTGCATAATTTTTTTCAAATGAATAAAAGAACCCTGCTGAACAAAAGAAAGGCCTTTTTTTATATTTAACAGAAGTCACCTCCTCTGCACAGGTATTCTTTTCAGGGTGCGAAAAAAAAATCAGGAATGGCTCTTAAAAGGTATTTCTCACCTGCAAACTTAGTGATTTAAAAAAAAATTAAGAAGAGTTTCCTGCCACGCGAATGGAGGAGGGGGGGTTTATCTGACCAAAACGAAACTAAGTAATAATAATAATAAAAAAAAAACCTGGCCAATTAACCGACCAAAACTCCGCAGCCCTTACAGAAAGCATCACTCTCCTTCGGCCCCTCACCCGCACAACCGCACGCGTGCCGGCGCCAGCATCCCCTTTCCCTGCTCTGCCCTCCCTCCTTCCTCCCGAGGAGACCCCGCACGCACCCAGAGAGCCGCCTCCGACGAGGACCGCGCCGGTCAGAGCCCCCGCCGAAGCCCCGTAAATCTGACGGGCGTTGCGGATGAGGTGCGGCGCCCGCTCCTGGAGGCAAGTGGCCGCGCCGATGTGGTAGACCCCCAGGAACCCGCAGCCGGCGAACGACACGCTCCGGCCGCCGCCCTCGTCGCCCACCATCCCGCTCCTCCTCCTACGCCGCGCCGGTCGCCAAGAAAGGAAAGGAAAGGATCGGCGAGGAGGAGCAGGAAAGAGGCGGCCGGCGGCGCGACGGAGCCGAGGCAGACCGGCGAGACTTCTCGCGAGGAGACCCCCGTTAGTTAACAAGAGCGACTTCCCTTCGTGGCGGTTGGGTTCATAATAAAAAAAAGCCGGGCCCGCAGCGCAAGCCGACGACACAGCTGATTGCCCGCGGCTCCGCCCCTTTCCCCCCACATCACGAGGTTGCGGCACGGCGTCGTTCAGCCAATCAGGCGGAGATATGCAAAAAAGAAGGCGAGGTCAGGCGGGGGCATCGCCGCGGGATAGGAAGAGGGGGAGAAGACATTGACGCAGGGCGGGGATGCGTGTCCTGTTTTGGCCTTTCTAAAAGATGTGGGTCATGGAACGCTTTCAGAGCCCCCTCCCCGTTCCCCGCTGCTGGGCGTGGAAGTCATTTCGTCACCCCCGACAAAGAGTGCTTATTTTCCCCCAGAGGAGGGAGGGGGGGACGGATCAGGATTCCAGAAGGAGCAGGCATATGTGGTTTCCCTTGATTTTTCTCCTCCCCCTCCCTTATAATCTCATCTCCTTACCTCCCCTATTATAACTGATTCCCACGTGGATGTCAGCGAGGGAGTCAACATTCCGTTTCCAGGCTCAGATGAGAAGCCTCTGTGTAGTGTTCAGTACAGAGTCTCTTTACCTATTAATGTTAGGTTTGGGTTTTTGAAAAAGCGGTTGCAGCCCGTCTATATAGTATCGGTTGGTTTAAAACCTTTTACGCTTATTGTTCTTGTTTAGTCGTTAAGTCGGGTCCGACTCTTCATGACCCCATGGACCAGAGCACACCAGGCCCTCAAGTCTTCCACTGCCTCCCAGAGTTGGGTCAAATTAATGTTGGTAGCTTCGGTGACACTGTCCAACCATCTCGTCCTCTGTCATCCCCTTCTCCTCTTTCCTTCACACTTTCCCAGCATCAGGGTCTTTTCCAGGGAGTCTTCTCTTCTCATGAGATGGCCAAAGTATTGCAGCCTCACCTTCAGGATCTGTCCTTCCACTGAGCACTCAGGCTTGATTTCCTTTAGAATGGATAGGTTTGTTCTCCTTGCAGTCCAGGGGACTCTCAAGAGTCTCCTCCAGCACCACAATTCAAAAGCATAAATTCTTTGGTGGTCAGCCTTCTTTATGGTCCACCTCTCACTTCCATACATCGTTACTGGAAAAACCATAGCTTGACTATGTGGACCTTTGTCGGCAAGGTGATGTCTCTGCTTTCTAAGATTTTGTCTAGGTTTGTCATCACTTTCCTCCCAAGAAGCAGGGGTCTTTTATTTTCATGGCTGCTGTCACCATCTGCAGTAATAATGGAGCCCAGGAAAGTAAAATCTGTCACTGCCTCCATATCTTCCCCTTCTATTTGCCAGGAGGTGATGGGGCCTGTGGCCACGATCTTAGTTCTTTTTTTATGTTGAGCTTCAGATCATTTTTTGCACTCTCCTCTTTCACTTGACATTTAGTCCAGTCGTGTCCGACTCAAGGGGGCAGTGCTTATCCCCATTTCCAAGCCGTAGAGCCAGTGTTTGTCCGTGGGCAGTTTCTGTGGTCACGTGGCCAGCACAGCTAGACACGGAATGCCATTACCTTCCCACCATGGTGGTACCTATTTATCTACTTGCATTTGCATGCTTTCAAACTGCTAGACTGGCAGGAGCTGGGACAAGTGATGGGAGCTCAATCCATTGTGTGGATTCGATCTTACGATTGCTGGTCTTCCAACCTTGCAGCACAGAGACTTCTGCAGTTTAACCTGCAGTGCCACCATTGGTCAGTTTTAGCCTCTTCAGCATTGGTGGTTGGTGCATAAACTTGAATTACCATGATGTTGAAAGGTCTGCCTTGGATTTGTATTGAAACCATTCTGTCATTTTTGAGATTGTATCCCAGTAAAGTTTTTCCCACTCTTTTGTTGACTATGAGGGCTATTCCATTTCTTCTGCGGGATTCTTGCCCACAATAGTATGTATGATAATTGTCTGAATTGAATTCGCCCATTCCCGTCCATTTTAGTTCACTGGCATCCAGGATGTCAGTGTTTATTCTCGCCATCTCCTGTTTGACCACATCCAGTTTACCAAGGTTCATAGATCTTACATTCCAGGTTCCTATGCAGTATTTTTCTTTGCAGCATCGGACTTTCCTTTCACTTCCAGGCGTGTCCACAGCTGAGCATCCTTTTAGCTTTGGCCCAACCACTTCATTAGCTCCAGAGCTACTTGTACTTGTCCTCTGCTCTTCCTCAGTAGCACGTTGGACACCTTCCGACCTGAGGGGCTCATTTTCCACCGTCATATCTTTTATCATTTTTGCTTGCCTGTATTTCATCCCTTTCAGTTTCATAGGACAAAGGCTGTATTTAGCAGAAGTAGGGATGAATGCAATGATTAAAGTAGAAGTTGTTTTGCAATGAAATATGCCTCTCACATTATTACAGTACATGGCAGGAGGGAACACACTGTACTTTGATTAATACAGGTCACTGAGCAAATCTATGATAAAAGATCTTGCTTCTTGGGAGGTTAGTTGTCTGTATTCAACCAGGTGCCTTTGTATCATGAATATCATGTATTTTTAGGTAACAGTACAACTCTTTCTAAAAGAAAGGGAAGACTAAACTGCATATGAATTTAAATAATTTGTAGCCACTTCATTGTTCTATCATTGGCAAATGAGTGTTCTGGTTTTTTTAGCTGAAAATGCCTGCATTTGCATACAGCAAAAGGCCAAAATTCTGTAGATTTATAACTTGTCAGAGGTAAGGCAGGACATGCTAGTATATGCTACCTGATTAGTTTTAGATTTGGATGTCATGGCACAGAAAATATGGCAAGAAAGTTTGTGGTTTGTTCAGCTGGTTGTGCTTGCCACGTGCATAAACCATTTGCCTTATCTCCCAAAAATCAGAATACTAGCTTCTTGCATCTGTATTGAGTATTAACTATTAAGCACATATTGTTGTATGACAAAAATCTATAGGTGGCCCATATCCCTACGGATGTTTATTCAGGCTTGCAGTGACACATGAGGAACTATGTACTGTATTTCCCTGACTGCTTTAGGTATTTAGCAATCACACTCCATAGGATAGCTACAATATATAATAAGCCCTTCTTCTTCTTCTTCCAACGCAATGCCTGGCAGTTTGCTAGCAATAATAACTGTTCCATAATTATAATTGGCACTTTTGAACATTGATCATCAGCTTATGCAACACAACTGAGAAGCAGAAAGATGTTGGCACAGATTTGTGTGGCTGAGCTAGCAAAATGTCAGATTCAAAATGTTTATCTTATAGGTACACAGCTGTTTACAACACTTACTGGTAAAGATCTCCCACAAATTATTATTTCCTATCAAGTTTTCTTTCTCTTAATGGAAACAGATGAGGAATGCCAGGCCTCAGGCTGCCAGCTGGAGCCTCAGGGAACTGCTATGCTTCTTCAAGTCTCCAAACAGGGAGACAAATTTTGGGACAAACACCCCTGGAAGAGGAAATAGATTGACTTGTGTGTATGACGTAGTGTTAAATTCTAGGCACCCATCTCTACTCATTCCCAGCTGCAGCCCTGTCTTACTCAGTGCAGAGTTGCTGATGGTGTGTTCAACACTTGCACATCATTGGTGCACCAAAAGGCCAGGAGCAAGGGAGGAGGACTGGGAAAGGAGCCGGAGAGAGGATGCATGTGGGCCCATTGCACCATTTGGAGGAACACAAAGAATGGAGCTCCGTTGTCACGACAGTAGTTGTCTTATTTCCTAAGCAAAAACATGCTCACATACATACACACAATGTCGCTGTTGTTACGGAAGGAGCCATATTCTGTGACATAAGGCCCTGTCTTGCTGACTTTAGATTTGACCTTCACATGTCAGGAAATGGGAAGCTGCTAACCTCACAACACTAATACAGACAATAGTGTCAGAGGTATTTTTGCCTAATTATGAAAGCTACAATTTGTGTGCGGACATTTCTAGGTTAATGTGCTGTTAGTTACGAGTCACTTAAGCCCACAGGTGCAATTTAAGCCTCCCACGGATGAAGTGCAAGAAAGCTGCTACTCTTCCCACCTGTTCCTCTCCTTCACCAGCTATGACAAACAGGAGTTTATAAAGCCTATGAAAGACAGGATTCCCAGTGTGGTGTAGTGGACAGCATAATGGACTAGGATTCTGGAGAACAGAGTTTGAATCTCCACTTGGCCATGGAAACTGACTGAGGGAGTGCAACTGGTAAAGCCATTCCTTAAATATCTCACTTAAGTGAAAGCCCTATTAGGGTTTCTATCAGTCAGTTCCAACTTGACAGCATAGAACAGACACACATGCATAGAGAGAAAACAGTTGTCATACTTTAAAGAGGCATTTGTGCCCTGACTGAGGGCTTTTCTAGAGGGAACATTTGTACTGTTGTATTTTCTGAGTTCTACATTAATTGTAGTAGCACTTTACTGTGTCCAAAATGTTTCCCCTGTTCATTTTATAGCCTCCACCTTTTCCCAGGGTTCTGATTGGTAGGTCCTCTCAATATGGTAACTCCTGCAATAAATTCAAAAGCAATGAGGTGTTTAGTCCTCAAAGAGTTAGAACTAAGCCAGCAGATTGTAACAACCGTTTTGATCTTTTCAGCAGGGCCTGTTAGTATGTGTTCAACCAGAGGTTGCAACCAGTAAACAAACTGTAGAATCCAGTTTTGTGCTATGTTTATATCATTATTATTTTGTCAATAAAATATGGGGGTTTTTTGGGGCAAAGTTTGTGTTTGCAATATTTATTAAATATGTAGCTACCAGAGGGTGTTACACAAACACAGGACAAGTAAAGCAATAAAATGGAAACCTTTCAGTGTTGGACCATCCACTGTCAGGATGCAACTCACAATAAATCCTATAAATTTCTATTAACAAACAACAGAAAAGGAAGTGGAAAAATAGATGTACAAATGTCTTTTCTGGAAAAGCCTTAAGATCTCTGTCTCAGATTTCACTGAGCTTATGTGCCAGTTTAAGGAATGAGTGCTCAATGGTTTATTTTTATTTATTTATTTAATTTATACCCCGCCTATCTGCTCAGAACGAGCACATGGTTTATCTCACTATTGTGACAGCAGTCATAACATGAACAGTATTCTTTGTCTACTGAG